GGTAGCCTTGCACTTCACCTGTGACATCTGGAGTAGCCGGAGTGGCGATTACACCTACCTCTCCCTCACAGGGCACTAATGCAATCAGTCAGGCCATCGGTGGGCTCTCCTCCAAGCTGAAGTGCTGGATGAGTCCCACACGGCAAGGGAGATCATGGTGGTCATGAACCTTATGGTGCAGGGGTGGCTCATTGGGCAGGCTGAACTCATCCGCGGGTTTATGGTAACCAACAACGGAGTCAATATGGTCAAGTCTGTCCATGATACCAACTTTGTTGGCATCCGCTGTGTGGCACACAGGCTGCACCTCATAGTCAGGGATGTCTTAGAGGGGGATAGGGTGGCCGGTGATGGCACTGCCACCACTACCACTACAAACCAGATGATTTCAAAGTGCAGGAAGGTGGTGAGCTAATTCCACTGCAGCATCAAGCGGGGCTAGATGCTGCGGGAGAAACAGGCAGAGCTGAACATCCCACAGCACAAAATCATGCAGGATGTGGAGACTTGGTGGAACTCCACATACCTGATGCTTGAAAGGCTGGTGGAGCAACAGAAGGCCATCCATAAGATGTCCTTGCTTGGGGAGATTGGGATAAGCAGCACCCTGAACAGAGCTGAGTGGAGTACCATCTCCCAGATCTTGGTGATCCTCAAGCCCTTCCTCTAAGTCACCGAGACCCTTAGCACTGGCAATGCCCTCCTCAGCCAGGTGATCCTCCTAGTGAGGGAACTGGAGAACCAAATGGAGAGCTTCCAGGGGATCAGTGTTCCTGGCTGCGGCAGGTCGCTGTCACCAGATGTGCAGGCACTGGTGAGGCAGATGAAGGAGGGCATCAGGAGATGGCTGGATCCCTTGCAGTCCAGTATGGTCCACATGCTGGCAGGCATGTATATATATATATGTATGTATGTATGTATGTATTAAAAAAAGAAAAACTGGGGGTTTTGCTACACATTCAGCATGAATGGAGCATGAATGGAGCCCACGTCAAACAGTACTGCACCACTGCCTGCTGTACCTGCAGCAGAACCACACCCAACACTGCCCCACTCGCCCACTGCTGCCAGTGCTGCGAGGGCCGGGAGGTGGGGCAGGCGCATGGTAGCCCCTGTTCAAGTCCCTCCATAAAGCATGTGGCAGGACCCAATCTGGCCCAGCCTAGCATGGCTTGCTAGCCCAGCTTTGCACCGAAGCAAGACGCACAGCTCTAGGAGTTGTGGCTCCTATGTAAACACACACTACATGTGCGGCCCGGGCCAGAGAGGGTCAGGAGGGCTGGCAGGGTGCATTTTCCATGAAGCTCAGCTGGGAACCTGGTGGGGGGAGGGGAGGGCTGGGCTGTGGCCCAGCAGGGTGGCTAGGAAACTGGGAGGATGCTGTGGCTCTGTAGGGGGGAGCTAGAGCCCTGCAGGGGTGGGGCAGTCCATGTGCTGTGGGGGGGCTGCACCCTATGGGGGCCAGGGGACCCATCCCTCCTAAGCACCCCCCCACAAGGTTCTCTCACACCCACAGTCCCCCCGGAATCACCCCACACTCATCCACATCCCCCCATATCCCTGCACACCAACCTACCCACACACACACCATCCCCCACACCTCTTTCCACCCCCCTCCTGCAAACCCCACATTCCCCCATCACACAACCATCATGTGAGAAGAAAACCAAAAACACACATCAATACAAATAAATATTTAGAATTTATTTTATTATAATGATAGAGACACTGGTAGGCTTCCAAATTTCTTTAACATTGTAAGTATATCAATAAAGCACTGCCCAACTGATCAGTCTCTATATCTATATCTATATCTATATGTATAGTGGTCTTGTGTTCTAATTGTGGAAGAACATGGATTTTGGGGTATTTTAAAAAATAGATTTGGGATGTTGCTGCAGCAGTCCAGCTGGCACAAGCAGCTAGTGTCCCCAGATGCCAATTGGCTGGTCCCCAGAAGCTCCTGTCTATTTGTGTTACCCTAATGCTGTAGGCCCTAAGACCCACTCAGCTAATTCGTGGCCCCTACAGTGTGGGGCCAATGAATGAATAACACAACAAAATGCTTGGGACAAGTAATGGAAGGAATGTTGTATGGGTCAAAGTATCAAAATATGAAAATAAATGTGTCTGAGAAGGACACCAAGCAGAGCCCCCCAGGCCGCACCCACAGGTCCTCAAAGGCATCCAAGGAGCTGGTGGATGCTGTCCACTAGTGCTCTGCTGAGACACATGCTTGGGCAAGTGAAAGGAAAGTGCACCCTCCTGGCCAGAGCCTCCTTCCTTGTCAAGTACAGGGCCCACTTGACCAGGGCCAGGAGGTTGACCAGGAGGTCCTGGGATTTGGTGGGGCCACTGATTGGGTGCCCAAAAATAAAAAGGTGGGGTTGAAGTTCAACCAGAACCACAGGCGGAGGTTCTGGAAGTTGGGGTGGAGGGGCTGCAGCCTGGTACATTCGAGAATCATGTGCGCCAGCATCTTCCTCTGCCCTCAGAAGGGTCAGGAGACTGGGGTGTCTGTGAAGCTCACCACATACACACCTGTGGCAATGGCTCCATGGTGGAGTCAGCAGCTGAGGTCCCCAGTAGCTCGTGAGATGAAGGTGTAGTATAGGCCCAGCCACTGGGGTGCCTCAGCCATGCCCTTGCTGAGCAAGTCCTGCCACTTGATGTCTGGGCAGGATGCAAAGGCGCCATGATGGATTGTGTGGCACACGAGGGTGTAGAGACGGCAGTGATGGATGGTGGAAAAATGGACCGGTCTGGTATCCTCCAGCTGGCTCAGGTGGTGGAGCTGGTAGTACCGTGAGGCCAGGAGAGGTGCCAGCCCCACAACCCCAGAAGCTCCACTGCTTCTATTTGAGCAGCTGCAAGTGCAGGTGCCTGCATGTGTGGACACACCCTTAGAGTGGTTTTTGCAGCTCAAAGTTGCATCATTCCAAGGTGGGGTTATCTCTTATCTGCACTACCCAGAGCCTGTTCCATTAAATTATATAATGACACTCCCCACAGATCTGCTGCCCAAATTGAAGTCCTCCGGTTTTCCAGCATCTCTCACACTCAGGCTTGTAGAGCAGAGATAGAAGCCTATTCTGGTTCACCAGCCCCCTTGTGGAAACTCACAGCTACAGGTCCTAGTCTTGCCCCTGCTCACCTGGTTTCTAGTGGCAAGTCACAGCTGTGCAGGTGAAGGACAGTGAGAGAAGGTTTCTAGATTAAGGGTGTGACTGCTCCAAACTCCAAGCTAGCACTTGCACCAATCAACATTTGTGTAGCTCAGAGAATAAGGCATAACAAGGACCTATTCCTTGAGCTATTATTTCTAATGGGCAAACATTGAAATGCCTCTGGGAGCTCATTAACATGGTCAGTGACTTACTACTAATTTATGTAAATCAAATATATCTGCTATAATTTTTGAATTAAGGATCCTGGCAGATCATAGATTTCACAGAGTAAAGCATGATGACAAGCACCTAGGTTTCTGCCCAGAAAGGCAGAACAGATTTCTGTTGCCTTTTGGGATACTAAACAATTACTGCCTGCATTACTCAGGATCCATAAATCAGATCTTTTCTTTCATTCCACAGACTAGATCATCTTCATCTGGGATGAGGATTCAACATTGTTAAAGGCTATAATGTTAGACTAGAATTTGCAAGGGACCTATGAGCATAGGACTTGAGAAAAGTACAGGAAACTTTCATTCATTAAAATGCTGTTTAAGGTTTAAAGATTGTATCATAAAAGCAGGTAGAAGAGGATAAAGCAAAACACCATACTGAAAACTGTCAGAATCTGCAGGATTAAGCAGGTGAGTTTACCAGTATGGCGGGCTTTCATTTCATCTTGCACAAATATTTTGTCTGTATGTCCCCACCTATCTTTTGTTGAAATCATATATACAGGAAATTCATAAACTCTGGTCCTGGTAGCAGTAGCTGTAGGAAAGGGCCAAGGTGGGCAAATGAAAAAGTGATCAAATATGCCAATATTTTATTAACTGCTGTTACTTTTAATGTGAGTTTAATGCTACTGATTTTTTTAAATATATTGATCATTAAGAAGTCTGAGACAGCTTAAAATAGTCTCAGTAGGCATATAACCAGAATTTATTCAGGAGTTGGTGTTCTAAATATTAAAGGGTGCTGTGAATGGTCTTGGTACCAACACCCTAAAAACTTATGTGCTTCCATTCAAACTGCTCACTGAAGGTGTGGATGCAGGAATGTTTGGCTGCCCTGAGGGGACCCTTACTGCTTCATAGACAAAAGCTAAAAATAATTCATATCAGCAGTTCTAATGTCTACTCAAACCAGTCATGTCACTGGTTGCACTTCTGAGGTAGCTGAATAGCAGGTGGTGAAAACCGGTGATTTGGAACTCATGAGTGGTGTTCTCCTACTGCCCAATAACCTCATTTTTAGAGCATTCCCTCAGGATGTAGGGGGTGCATCTACACATGCTATTAGCACAGAGCAATAAACTCTGGCACATATTGCACTTGAGTTCATTGCTCCTGGGCACTGTGCCTTCACATATGCCCAGGACCGCAACACGTTGAGCTGGGTTGGAGCAGCCCTGGCTGGAAGGCAGGGTCAGCCTGCCAGCCTGGGGCTGCTGTGACCTGGCTCAATGTGCTGCAGAGGAGCTCTCTGGGGCACGAGGGTGCTCTAGTGTGGGGCTAGCCAGCAGGCAGCACTGCACTAAAGCACCCTTGTGCCTCAGTCATCCTTGTCAGCATCTACATGTGCATTGCTGCACATTAAAGAAGACTGCCACTGGATAGTACTTGTATTTACAAGTACTACCCTGTTGTGGAGTTAATTGGTTTGCTGCAGTCTAATAAGGCCACACATGTAGACACTGAGACTTTACTGTGGAGCTAATTAGACAGCTCCACAGTAAACATCTTTTGTAGATGCACCCAGGAAGTCTGAAGTCTAGCCATTCTGATCCTGAGGAGATTTGAACATGCACATTTTCCTTCATAGGTGAATGTCCTAACTGGTAGGCTATAGAAACAATGGAAGAAAAACTGTCTTCAGCTTTGCTGCTCAAGTTGGGTGAGTGAAAATGCAATGACTCATGAAGTCAGAAGGGGAAAAAAAAGGAAAGCACCTACTTTGGTAGCCTAGTAGTTACGGTACTCTATCCAGAAAGGGATCTCCTAGGTCTATTACATTGTTATTAGTAAAAAGGAAGTAATAAGTATTGGAGTACAGGTTAGAGCCCAGGACTTCCTTCTCTCAGGGGAATCTATAAACACGAGGCTATAGGATAAAGATTCTTATTTGCTCCTCTTTTGATCCTCATGCTTCTTGTATTTTTTTCTACCCAGTGTTCTACCTTCAGTGGGGGCAAGGGCAGGGAGACTTGTTAAGTGTGTTCTGTAGCTGGGTAGTTAAAGCCTGCTTCTAAAATGTGGGAGATGTTGGTTCTAATCTCCCCATGGCAGAGCTCCCTAATAAGCCTTTTCTGTGTGAATGCTAAACCATTAGTCTATTGGTGAAAGATTAACACCACCACAAACAGTTCTGAATTGTGTGTCTTCAGAAAGCTGCTTTCCATTGATCTCAGGTGGCCTGCTAGAAGCAGTGAATTGCAACCAGTCACAGGTGCATAATGCGTATTTCAAGAAGTGTGGGAGTTTAGTTAAGCCCCTATGCTTGTGTACTTCCCATTAGTTACTTCTGAGCATCTCACCCTGTGCACAGCATCTAGATACATAAGCCTAAAGTGGTTTAGGCATCTTCCGCATATCTCTGTTGAGGTTGCTATATACCTAACTAGCTCACGTTGAATCACCTTTTTTGGAGTAGTATTGTAATGCTCTAGTGATTGTGATAGCTCAGAGGATATCCAAAATAAAAGTAATATATATTTTGGACCACCTATGTAGTTTTTCCACAGGTTTACTGTATATATCTCTTCTTGAGTAGCTACCTTTATTTAAACAAGTGATTTTTTTTTTCTGTCTGATGTACCAGCTGCTGTCCAAAAGTAGAGGAATGTTGTGGCTTTTCTAATCTCTCTCTCAACTATACAGTTGCCTCAGCAAAAGATATTAATAAATAAATCCTTCTACTGGGGCAGGCATTTGAAAGTTAGCTAAGGCAGCACCTAAGGTTAGATGTAAAGAAACTGAAAGGATTTGATTTCTATCTTCTTTATGCAGAATAGGTAATATCAACCCAGTCTCTCAACAGATACATACCCATTCATGACTTAGCAGGACCCCCACATCTGGATAAGACAGAAAATCAGTGTCTTTGGATAATTCACTTCTCAGTCTCAATGCCTAGAATAATAACTGGAATTGTGTTTGTGTAACTGGTATATCACTGAACTAGATGGAACCTGGCAAGTCACTTTCTGCCAGGAACTGCACAGCCCAACACTGCTAAATTCTATGAGCTCAGCTCTTCACTGTCTGGTATCTCTGGGAAATACTTAGACTAGTGCCATTGGAAGGATGGGGTAGCTAAAATACCAGCTCAAAGCCTTTCTAACAATCCCTTATTTTCTGGGATACATTTGAAAAGCTGACCATTAATGTAACTTTGCACTTCTATCTGACACTGTTTAAGTTGCTCCTGTTACAAAGTCCACCATAGATCATTATAATAAAGGAAAAAAAAGTTCCACCCAGTTTTACTTCTGTGCATTTGACAGCATTTTTATGTATTCTCAGTTTCTGTATTTCCCCAGTGCAGACATTTAAGTTTTTGTTCACACAAAAGCATTTGATTGTGTTGTAACTTGAATTAGATGCCAGTGAACTTGAGTTAAGTCATATCATTTTAAATGCTAATCTTGACTGTACAAACACTTGTTCCTGACCTTGCAATTTTCAGTGTTTAGATAGAGCTATAATGTTGTTTGTTAACCTCAGTTAATTGGAAATCATTTAATTTGAGCTTCAGGACAAGTTCTTAAGCCTTGATTCCATGCATTTTTCCCCCAATATATTTAAAGGGGATATTGAAGTTAATGTTTTTTTATGTTTTTATTCCAATGTAACCTTCCCTGCTAATATTTTTATTCTGGTAAAAAGAGTGCCTTTATTTTGCTTTTGCATATGTCACTTGGAAAGTGGCTTAGATAAATGACAAAAGTAACACTTGATTATGCAAATACTAAATGACTTGGCAGTAACAGCTGTACAGTTAGTGTCTCATGTAAACACAACCACTGTGTTGCCTGCATCCACTTATGCTCCTATCTGGCCCTCTGAGAGTGTCAATAGTGAGGTGAGATTTTAACTGTATCTGTACACCTGTTAAAACTTTTCTGTATAGACCAGGATTTAGCCACCTTCCACTGGTGTTTATGTGGGCCTTTCCCACAGCAAGTAGGCAAAAGAAACATCTAAAAATAAGAGAAAATGATAGTGTGTGTGTGTAATTTATAATTTTATAATTAATGTATAATTATAATGTTACAATTAATTTATAATTAATTTAATTTATTGTAATACTAATTTATTAGTTCTAATTTAATTATTTATTAATAGCTTTACATGCAATGGGTCATTTGAGCAAGTTGTACTAAATCCCTAAACAAGTTTTGGATGTGCATAGGCACTCATTCCATAGATCAATACCAATGTCTGCTTATGCAACCATTGACATTTCATATTTTCATAGTTTCATAGATGTTAGGGTTGTAAGGGACCTATTAAATCATCGAGTCTGGCCCCGTGCC